GCATCCTCATCATCGTCCTCCTCCTCCTCATCATGCCCATCACCACCACCACCATCATCATCATCAAAAACAGCAGCAACAACAACCACAACAACAACAACATCATCATCAGCAGCATCATTATCATCATCATCGTCATCATCATCATACTCACCATCAGCATCAGCATCATCATCAGCATCATCATCAACATCATCAGCATCAGCATCAGCATCAGCATCAGCATCATCATCATCATCATCATCATCATCATCATCATCATCATCATCATCATCATCATCATCACTCACTCGGATTGCGCCACGCTCGCCGAAAAGTGGCCTCTCCACGATCTTGGAGCGGAGCTTAGCGATGGCGCTCAACTCGGAGTGGCTCCACTCCTGTGCAGCGTGCACAGGGAGCACTCCCACCCACCCTGCTTGACGAGTAGATCTGCCGATGGAAGGCATCACTTACTGACGCGTTTTCACTTGGTCTCCAGCTTGGAAGATATTCCGGGTCTCGAGGGCCCCGCGGACTCGGCGACAGGACGATCGGCCTGGGTCCCCGTGTCCAGAAAATTGTGAATCAAGGAAGTGCACGACTGGTCCAGATAGAAAGACATGCACAACCTCTCGCTGTGGATCAGCATAACTACTCACAGAGGCTGGGATACAGTAAGCACAAAGACAGGATGGTGCGAAAGAGGAGCGGCACAGGTAGGCACAGAATCTCGGCAGCAGGCTGGCTCCGTCGGGTCGGCCCTTATCGTCAGCGGACTCTGCGGGAAGGGCTGCCCTTCGTGCACCATGAGCTCCGAGACCTCAGCAGGCGAACAGCGTATTCTAGATTGCGCGATAACTCTTCTGATGCTCTGCTATAAATTAGCTCGACACCGCACACGCCGCCTAATACAAGTACGGCTCGTCTTGCAGACCCTAAAGCATCCAACATGCTGCTATAATCGCCCGGACTGAATACTCTGCCCGAAACCTTCGCAAGTCGAAAGTGCGCGTTTCGAAAATGATCCGTATGACTTGAAAGACTGTACAGGCACCTACCGCAATCATGCGATCTACCCACATGTGGACACGGCTAAGACCTACCGTGCCCAACGGGCAAACGACAAAACCACACCTTCCGACAACACAAACATTTCGGCAACAAAACAGAACATCTAGACGGCAACAATATTATGTGAGCCGACATCCGCCACGCGCTGACTAGTAAGGTCGGACTGAGGACAGAAGAACATCCTTCAAGAACATGAGACCCCCCGCTGGCCAAAACATCCCAGACCGTCAGATTACTCGAGGGTGCCCTTCCCCAAGACGCACAAGAACATCAGACAAACCCGAGGAGCATCAGGGTGATCTCCCCGAACGGACATCGATCTTATACCTCGGTCCGACCGTAGGGCTTCCGTGAGTCTTGCAAGGGACCCCCTCTCGTCACACCCACTCGCACGCATCGCCTGGGCGGTTCCTCCTCCTCCTCCTCCTCCGCCTCCTCCTCCTCTCCCTGGAGGAGAGTGAGAAGCACGCAGAGAGGGATGCGGAGAGCAGCCTCGCGCACTCCGCCGGCCGCCTCGCGCACTCCGCAAGCCGACTCCTCCCCCCAAAAATCTCCCCCAGACACGCGAGAATGCGCGGTGGGCTGGGCCCAGGCGCGTGACGGCTTCTTGGGCACGTAGAAACAGCAGTGAGGTGCGCCCTCAAGGCTGCGAGAGCCTCGTCGCGGAGCACCCCCTCACGCACTGCCGCTCTGATCTGATGCTGCGACGCGTGAGGATATGAGTGAGCAATGCCTTCTGGGCTAGAACACTGTCATTTCCGCACACCCCTAATGGATGTCCTGCTTCACATTCTGCTGGGGCATGTGAAAATACGACTGACATGAGTTCCGAGGGCCACGAAGGGTTCAATTCTACACACACACACATGTCCTGCCCCACTCTCTATTGGGGCACGAAAAAATACGAGTGGTCTGAGCTCTCATGCTCCTGGGACACGTAAAATCAAATTATGCTCTCAGGCTCCTGGGACACGTAAAAAATCAAAAGTGCTCTGCGCCTTCAGGCTCCTCGGACACGTAAAAAACAAATGAGTTCGGCGTCGAGCCTCCTGGCAGACGTAAGGGTACGAGTGAGTTGCTCGTCCACTTTGACGGGAACCTCAAGTCGGCACAACCCTCACGCACTTCGTGAATGTTGGGCGCTCAGCTGGCCCCCGAGACGGCCCCTTGGAGCCTCAATTCGGGACACCCCTCAGGCACGTCATGCCCCATGGACCCAAAAATGCCCTTGGCTGGCCTCAAAGACCACCGAATCTGGTAAGGGGCGCAAATGCGCCATAAAGAAATATTGCAACGACTGGTACCGACCCTCGTCGATGCAGTATCCCTAACACCCACTGGTTGCAAAATCTGCGAACAAGCTTCCCCCTGGGGGCCCGCCGTGACTCCCGCTCTACGGGCTCAATACTTTCCGGGCTCCAATGGGGAGCCGCTGGTTGTATCCACCCCTCGTTTGGCACATAGCCTCCAGCATCTCCCCCAGAAGCCGAGCCAAGAGCAAGCACGAAAAGGCAACAAAAAAAGCCCCGAGGCAGCCCCAAATACGGCTCCGAGGGGGGTTCAAAATTTCCCATTGAAGGGTCCCAATTGACACGTTGTTGGAAGCGATTGGCATGGCCCCGGTTTAAGGTTGATTCGTGCCCCTTTTGTTTTCACTTCTACTGCTCGCCACTGCCTCTCTCATGACGACACGCTTAGGAATAGTTTCTGCATAGACTGGAGCAAATACGCGAAGCGTCGAGAATTCGCACGCAAACCCATCAGGTGGAATGCATCACAGACAAACGTAAGGTCGACCGACCTCATGGTGGAGGGCCATGAAGTGAACAGTGATATGGTCTATGCTGAAGTGTTCCGCGACGAAGGCAATGTCATCAGGGGTGAACTCCTTCTTGAAAGGGAAGCCCCGCATGAATTGGTTCATCGAACACTGGGCACGCGTACGAGTCAAAAAAAGCACCGTACCAGTCACAAGTCGCGGGAGAATGGGTGAAGATCAAATTGGAAGCCAGACGCCACTAAGAGAGCTAGCAGGAGACCATCATCGACAAAACAAGATTGGCAACAGAGGAGGAAACATTGACGAAACTTGGATAGGAGAGGGAAAGAGCGAGAGAGAGAGAGAGGGAGAGAGAGAGAGAGAGAAAAAACTAACAAATGGGAAGAAGAGTGAGAGAGAGAGAGAGTCAGACACACGGACTGATCCGCCGGCCCCCTTGTGGGGCCACCAGGCTGTAGGCGCGGGTTCGGAGTTTCCTGTACCAGTTGTAGCTTGTAGTTTCCAGTGTTACAGTTCTGCTTCTTGCTGGTTACTGTAACTAGTTGACTTCTTGCTGGTTACTGTAACTAGTTGATTGACCGCGCGAGGGGGGGGGAGGCCCAAACAAGACTTTTAGCGTCCCCTGGGCGCGTTGTCTGAATTGCTGGGGGGGCTCGAAATCGACACCCCTCACGCAGATCCGCGGGGTCAGGGTCCAAAAACACAGGGGATTTGCCACATTTCTGAAATTCGGTGCCACCCCTCACGCAGATCCGCGGGGTCAGGGTCCAAAAACACAGGGGATTTGCCACATTTCTGAAATTCGGTGCCACCCCTCACGCAGATCCGCGGGGTCAGGGTCCAAAAACACAGGGGATTTGCCACATTTCTGAAATTCGGTGCCACCCCTCACGCAGATCCGCGGGGTCAGGGTCCAAAAACACATGGGATTTGCCACATTTCTGAAATTCGGTGCCACCCCTCACGCAGATCCGCGGGGTCAGGGTCCAAAAACACATGGGATTTGCCACATTTCTCAAAATTCGGTGCCACCCCTCACGCAGATCCGCGGGGTCAGGGTCCAAAAACACAGGCGATTGGCCACATTTCTGCAGATCCGCGGGGTCAGGGTCCAAAAACACATGGGATTTGCCACATTTCTGAAATTCGGTGCCACCCCTCACGCAGATCCGCGGGGTCAGGGTCCAAAAACACGTGGGATTTGCCACATTTATGAAATTTGGTGCCACCCCTCACGCACATCCATCGCAAGGCGTGGTAACCCAAACTGCGAGTACTCCCTCGGCCATTTAATCCCAAGGTGTGGTAACCAAGCTCGTAAACCATACACGTCTTACCAATCGCCCTGTGTGGTAACCCCTCTTGTGATCAGTTGGTTTTGCCGATTGCGAATCGGCCTCGCATGAAGTTCCGATACTGCTGCACGACAGCGCCAAAGCCTCATGACTTAGCTCTTCCATGGCCCATTCTCCGAGAGAGGGGGCCGGCGGCAGGGGGCGAAGCCCTTACGGATAAATCAGAAGTGGTAGAGGGGAGGGCAGCACTGCCGCAAGAGCCGCATGATGCTGTCGCGCCGAGCCCAGCTGAAGCCCGAGAGCCTACGGCGGGTTCGTGTCGTGACGACCTGCGCGTTGGTTTCTGACACCGCGTGGATCCCCCAGTCCTGAACGATCGCTGCCTCCGGGTAGCGCAGATCGTTCGATATCAGCCCCCTCCGAGCCACCCGCGGCGCTCAGCCCTGGACGCCCGCGCCGGGGTCGCCGCCGCGTCGACGAGACACGACCCTGCCGTACCCAGACGTCCGACGCGCCACCTCTCTTCGCTGCGCAGACCGCCAGAGGTCTGGACGACTCGCCCGGGCCCGACTTCTCCATCCCGAGCTGTTCTTTGACGGTCCCGGGGTCCGTTGAGGGCCCCGGGACGTCGAGACTGTAGAGGAGGCCTGCCACGACGGGCAACGCTGGCGGCAATGGTGAAACATTGGACGCAGTATCAACAGGCCTGCTTGAGGAGAGGGGAGGGGAGGAGGGAAGGAGGGAAAGAGGGGGGAGGGGGGAGGGGGGGGGGGGGGGGGGGTGGGGGGGGGGTGGGGAAATAGCCCAAAACCGGACGCTCCGATTTTTGTCGGAGCCCCGGATCTCCGGGGCCGTCATTCCACCCCAGCAGG